CCTTGCAGGTGGTATGTTTTCTAAGTGCCTTCCAGATTAAACACAATCTTATTTTGCAATTAGAGCTTTAAAAGTCGTGATAGTATCAGCACGCGTTGCTGCACAATGTAATAACCAGACTATCTTAATGAGGGACTAAAGAGTCCTTATACTTCTGATGCCATCTCTAAAACACAAATGAGATAATAATTCAGGCTGAGAGCAATTATTTATTATAAACACCTGAAAAACATGGGGCTTGGGACTCGAGGCAAGTCATACCCTGCCATTACAACATGAAATTGCACCATGATATAACACTGTGTCTTTCTGAGAAGATCAGAGGTGTATTGGCTGGACTGTGGGCACTATTTCCAGTGAAGTGAATGGAGAGCATTTAATCCAGCTGTTATCAGTCTGCTCAGAACTGACAACCTAATTTGGAAACTAGATTACACTGCACACACAGATTAACGCACTGCTGTACAGCTGCATGGATTTATGATTCCCATGGCAACCAGGAGAAAATGTATCCTGGTAATTCTCCCCGAACAGAGCAGATCTGTCTCCATGCAGCACTAACAAGATTTATCACTAGCACAGTCATATTTTCAATGAATTCATTGCGGATAGCTAGACTGGTATAATCTCTAACTCTCTCTGCATCCTAAAATACCAATTCACAAGCAGAAGAGACACTCATATGATGCACTAATGCTACAAGCAATGAAAAACCTTGGATACTATCTGAAATGTGTAATTTCTTAGAAAATATTAGTGGTTTCCAAATAATTTTCCAGGGCAATGAGTAAATTTGTGTTTATTTTACTAAGATTATGTGGGTGTTCCAGTTGTTTCTCTGGATCTGGATTGAAGGCACTTGAGACAGTAGTTCATGTTCAGACTCAGGTGTTTATTATTTCGTATCAGCAGAACAGTCTCACTACTGTGAGTTTGGCAGCTTTTCATTAGAAGGCACAAAATGGCTAACAGTCTCTTGTTACAAGGTCTTTTAAGACTAAATTATCCAATTAAGAACTGACACCTAGATAATTTTCCCTTTTAACCCAGTAACTGATCCCAAAGAGCCCTCAATGTGGACTTTTCTGCCCAGTTACAAAATGCCACCCAAAGCCAAGAAGAAGATGGAAGATGAAGCATGAAGAAGAAACCCAGGATGACACCCCATGCACTCCATCTTGCTTCCATGCACAACATACTAAAAATCCCAAAACCTAAATTTCTCACCAAGTGATACACCTACACTACTCTCTATAATCTAGAGTTTAGTCTATCTTGAAGTCTAGGAAACTTTCTGCATGAATCAGGGTCAAAGTCAGTGCTTCCCTGAGGGTCAGGGCACCCCAGAGCAGTCAGAGAAATATTCCCAGTGCCCTGGGCTTCCACAACATAAGAAAGTGAGTATTACCCTACTCTTCCCACACTACTCATAGTCCTCTCATATTTCAAGCAAGTGATACTGATTTCTATATTTTGGAGTTTGGTAACTTGTTTTCCTTGCAATGAGAAGAGTCTTCGGTTTCATGCTTCAAGAGAGAAAGTCAGAAAGCTTTCAGTTTTCTGAAATACATACAGGACAGTATTTTCAGTTCCATCACTGCCTGCTTGCAGGACTATTTAGTCTGTGTAACCATAAAAAACTCTGAAAAAAAGTTAAAAAGAGGAGAAAAAAAGCCATTTAGGTACTTCACTGAGCTAAATAATAGTTGCCAAGTGTCCTAAGAGAGAGCTGTCTATGCATGAAGGACTATTTTCTTCCAAACACACAGAAGAGCCATGCTGGAGATTTTCTCAGTGTTAGCCAAGAATTTCAAAGGTTGAAATTTATTTCCCAACTCACAGAAAATATCAAGAAAAGAAGCAAACACACCCAGTTGCTAGGGCTTTGGAACAACAGTGGAGCTAAAACTGGCCATGAAGAAATTGTGTGACGTTCCAGCTGTAAGGAGCTAATCCCATCACTTGTCAGTGTGCTTCAAAATCATGCACTGTCCTTGGTTGTGTTCTTCCACCCCAGCATAACCCAGCCCAAAAAAGGGCAACAACCCCAAATCCTCCCACAAAGAGCAACTTCTGAACACGTGTCTTACAAGCATCTCTGTCACATGTACCTCTCCCAGATAAAGCACTACAGCTGACTCAGTTCTGCATTTCCATAGGTCAGTACCTCGTGGAGTGGAAAGCGGCCCCACTCTGGAGCATTTTCTCAGTGGCAGTCCAGAAAATCCTGCCATGAAGTTCAGCCTACAGAAACCAACAAACCAAACCTTTTTAGCAAAGAGCCAACAGATCAACTTATTGTAATGTGGCTGCAGTATGAAAAAACCAATTATCTGCCAGTGCAATTTAATTGCCTTCAAAACAGAATCAGTACATTTTAATGTGTTATAATGAATTATTTGTATTTGCAATAGCACAGATCCCATGTTAGTTCACGAAATCACTGTTTTTCCATCTGGCACATCTAAGGACTCCACAAATGGACATTTTTGTGAACACTCAGTCCAGAGCTGCAGTTTTAAAACAACATTCTGAAAAGATGCCAAACAAGCAACTGTAAGAGTAGGAGAACTGGCATGTTCAGGTATTTTATTTCCTGACTCCCAAACAGACTGCCTATCTAGTCTAAAGTCCTCGCCTCCATTTGTTGGATAAGGCACTATTTAGAAAACAACCATCAATGAATGAAAGACAATGGACGATAAAATTAACATATTCAGGAAAAATAAATAATCTCAACCAAATTATTTGGTCATTTCCATTCATGAGATTGCTCAAGCCCTGGAACTGCTGTAGATCTGACAAAATACTTTAAAAGAAATTACTTAGTGCAAGAAAAAAATATATGTAATTTAGGACCCTTTTTGATAGATTTCTTAAATGCAGATGGGGGTTTTTTAGGTACACATGAGCAAATACTCTTTCTGATAACAAGCACCAGTTTTTCGTTTTTCTGAATTGGGACCACCTGCACAGGTTGGAACACCTGTGCATCCATGATGTCAACAAATCTACTTGTTGTAGATGAACTGAGATGCGAGACTGCAGCCTCAAAGGAGCAGGTCGTGAAATGACAGGTTTGGTCTGACGGGGATTGTCCCTCCTGCTGTGAAGTTGTAGGAACACTGACTGCACTGTCCAAATTAACAACCCAACCCAGAAAACACTGCAGCATGTCCCTGCTCGTCCCACGGAATTTGTCGTGTATTCTGTAGGTCAAACATGGGATGAAATGCCTTTGAATCAAAACGTTTTCTCCTCAGGCTCCAGTTAGCCCCAAGTGTGAAAGTATCTCGGATAAAAACACGCATATGCCTCAAACAATCTGCATTTAATAAACACTGGAACCCGGGGGGCTCACACCGAGGTGCTGCCGAGGGGTTTGAAGAGGCTCGGCATTAGGAAAATGAAGGACGCAGTAATCTCTTTGGGAAAAAGCGCAGGTTCGCTAGAGTTGGAGGGGCCTCTGGAGATAATCCAGCCCAAGCCCCTGCCAAGGCACGATCACCTGGAGCAGGTGACACAGCAAGGCGTCCAGGTGGGTTTGGAGTGTCTCCATGACTCCACTTCGCCACTGTACTTCGTCTCTAGGCAAACCAACACACAGGGTAAAACAGCAGCGACGCGCTGTTACTGAGACTACCGAAACACCTGCGGCGGCATTGCGGCGGAAGCTGGCGGGGAGGCTCGACCGTCGGCCCGCAGCTCCCAGCCCTTGGCTGAGCCCCCTGCGGGAAGAGCCGGCTGCCTCCCGCCGCCTGCACCGGGCCCCGCCGGCCCGGCCCTTCCCGGGCTCCTGCCGCGGCCATGGGCCCCGCCCGGCGCCGCCATTTGCTGCTCTGGGCGGCCGCGCCATTTCCCCCCCCGCCTCCCGGCCGGCAGCTCCCTGTGCCGCGCAGCCTTCCCTGCTCCCGCAGGTCCGCTGGTGTGGGAACGGGCACGAAGGACGGCTCTGGCAAGAATCTGGGCTTCAGTCGTTTGGGAAGGAAGTTCCAGGGGACGGGGGAACGGCCCTCTGCTACAGAGTTACTTCTAGAGGAGAGCTTTCCTCCGTGTCCCTCGGGGTGAGGAGGGGACACCGTGCTCCCGCCCGGCCTCACTGGCAGTCGGGACAGCTGGGCACCACCGCCGAGCACCGCTCCTGTCCTACAAATAAATCCCCGTGAACCGCTGTTGGAAAGGGCACAGCAAACAGAACCAAGAAACAGCACAACTGTGCTTACCAACCATGGCCTTGCTGGCAATAGCATGGAATTGTTCAATTTACACTCGACTGAAAAACTACACAAAAGTTAGTTTTGTTGGTCAGATGCACAGTCAGATTGTTCCTTTAATTCCACCGAGACAGATTTTGTCTATATGGAGCTTGGCAGCTAACCAAACAGGCCAGTCCCCTCCATGTTATCAGAAGCCAGGTATAATAGCTAAAATTTACTCTCATGATCAATGCTGGGCCACATCCTTTCCCCTGCACAGAATCTCGTCACAGGTTACTTGCATCCGAGGAAACACAAAACGTAATTAAAAAAAAAATGCAAGTTACATTAATCAAATTGTTTGAAATTTTAATTGCGATCCATGTTTCTTTTGCAACAGTTTCTCAAAGGCTATGATGAAACACAATAATGAAACTAAATAAAAGCACAAATCCCAGGAAACAGTTTGGCATTTGAAGATGGAATAGAAAAGCCTGATTTTAACTAAGATCTATAGTATTACTAAGAGCAGTACGGACTGTCCTTGCAAATTCTTCCCTTCATTTAAGGCTTTGAAAATAAAGTTTCTTTAGGAGTTTGGAGCACCTCTAACCTCCAGCAGTAATTAAGACATTCTTAACATCCTTGACCATAGACAGAGAAGCATTTTATAAATGAATCCAACTTTACAGTAAAAAGCTGTTAATCCTATTAAAAATGAGATTGATCCTTAACACTGGAACTTGGCACTTAATTGCCAGTCATTCAGTTGTTCCTCATATATTGATGAAACAAATAATGCAACATTTGATGGTTGGTATTGTTTTATTTTCTAATATTGATTAAACTATTTACACTTCTACTTTTCAATCCACAGTTTAGCACTCATACCTATGGCTTTTACTTTTATGTTTAGCATATCTTTTAGTCAAGTGTCAGAAATTCATTTCAAAAAAAAAACAAGAACCTGATACCATATAGACAAGTCTCTATGTTTATGTTTAAACAAATTCATTTTCAAAAATGATTATTTATAAAAGAGCCTGCTCATAGCTTTCTTCCAAATCATGTTTATCACAGACTTTACCAAGCTCTTCCTATTTTTAAGTGTCCCATTTAGCGTGTCCTGCTGCCTCCAAGTGAAGTCTGTTCCCTCCCTCAGCCCCCCCCACCTCTAAATTTAATGCAAAAAGAAAATCAGTAACCGGCAATTTCAAGCAAAAATATAAAGCACTATAACATTACCTACACTGCCTTTCACAGAACTAAGTTCTCAAAAACTCTAGAAACTTTGTGGTAATTTAACCACTCAGTGTTGAAAAGGCACGGGACTTTTGTGCTCAGAGACCTCCAGCAACAGTGCTTTTAGCCCAGCCTGAAAGTTAAGATCCAAAAATTCACAGGTATGTAACTGCCACTTACAGCAGAACCCCTCAGATTTTACTGACTTTCCTGCTACAGACATCCTGCAAATTTGTACAAGACTTTGCTGCTACTGGCAAGAGGAAAAGAGGTGAAATTACTTTTACATATGCCCAGGAATGGTGTAATGATACAATGATACAAGCTACTCATTGCTAAAAATCTCACAAAATTGTCCGTGACTGTGGTAGTTTCTGTTTCATGGCACTACATGAATGGGGAAGTATTTTTCACATATGAGAGAAGTTTAATTGTACATGAAGAAAGCTAATTTTGGTCCACTTGTCCAGCTCCCTATGGACAGCATATTGGAAAGGTGACCAGTGACGGTTCAAAAACCAATGTAAAAGTTAACAAAAATAATTTGGTATTTCATTCTTAAAACTGCAGTGTCATTATGTGTCCTACTCATCCACTTTTGCATTTTGTGTATCCATTAATTGTTGTGTTTTTAAGTCTTCAGCTGGTTCATGATGTTCCTTATCTGTATCATCTGCTTGATTATGATCCTTTTCTTCTGCTTCTCCTTGATCAACACTTCGATATTCTACTTGTTCAAGGTCTGTTCCATCTATAAGTTCTGCCTGTACTTCTTCCATCTGTATTTGATTTACATGCTCAACATGTAACTGCTCCACATGAACTTCAGCACCTTGTTCAGTCTGAATGTGTTCAACTTCCAAGTAACTAATCTGCACCTGTTCCTGTAGTTCCTCCATCTGTGTGCCTTTCACTTGATTGTCCTGGATGAGATCCTGGTGCATCTGTTCCACAGTTACCTGTGCAGGATCCACTTGTACCTGAATTACTGGTAGGACATGCACTTGCTCAACTTGTTCTATTATAGTCATTGATGTTACTGGTTCAGCTTCCATACCTTCCACTGGAAGAACCTCTTCTGTCACTAATAGTTCTGAAATATTGTGCATTTCTTTGAGATGCCTTCTCAGCTCACTGCCTTGCATAAACCACAGATCACATAAGGTACAGTGGTTGGGTTTGTCACCAGTGTGTATTACCAAGTGGTCTTTGAACTGATCCCAGCTGTTAAACACGCTGTTACAAACCTGGAACAAAAGATACAGCATGTTAAGCAGTGGCAACAGAAATGTGACAAAATACAGTGCCTATTTGAGATCATGCCTTCACATTCTATAGTTTCTTGCTACTTGGATTCAAAAAACATACATTTTAGAGGAGAAGAAAGCTTCAAATAAACAGAAGACTTGATATTTTTTTTTTTTTTTAAGAATTGTGAGATTTTTTGAGTTGTGCATGCGTAAGATACCTACAAAATTCCTAAGTCAGTAGAGCATTTGAAAGTTTTCTCATCTGATATTCATGTAAGTATCATACACCCAATCAATACATGTCTGGCACTAGAGTTTTGGGTGGAAAAATATTTATGCATTAATAATAGGGCCCACTGAAAGTGTAATACAAATTGTTTTACTGACATTCTAGATGCAGTACTACTGAACAACTTTTCCTTATCAGCTTTCACTTGCTCATGACATTGTGAGGCTGAACTCTCCCATTCTGTGTTTTAAAAAAAGCCCACATGAGTGATTTCAGCAGGTAAAACTTTTAAAACTCCATCCTTCTGATTCTCTTCCAGCCAAAAGTACTGCCTTAACATCAAACATACTGTTTTTACAGAGCACATGAGCTCCCTTCCCGTCAGCGGGCACTGAAGGTAAATAGCTGGAAAACAACACAGAGAGACTGCAGAAATAAATGAGATGCAGGGTAGAGGAGACAGAAGAGTGGGGTAGAGTCAGGCTTGGAGTAAAAAAACCCAGAGGCTCAGGAAATTGTCCATGGAAATATGTTTAGCTGTAGAAAGCAACAAGAACATACATATCAAGTCGTTCACTGCTGACAAACAGTTTTGAAACAGGACGTTCTATCTCTTCATGATTTTCAGTAACTGCAGAGAAATGTGATGGAGGGAGTATCTGACAGGATTAACTCGAGCAGGTCTGTGTAGTCAAGACAAACATCTCCATTTTTCTGAAGTCTGCTAAAATGGGTTGTAATACTATTGCCACACATTTTCCCCCCCCAGGCTCACATTTCAGAAAGACATTGCACATACAGTTTTTAAAATACTAATGTTATAAATAAGCACTCAAAATTACTTGGTCATACATAAAGATAATGACTATCAGCAATGCCCAGGCACATAATTACTGTTCTTGCCACACAGAATCTAATTCAGTATTCAAGGCATATACCTGAAGAGCACAAAAGGACTCATCAAGAAAGCACAACTTTTTCTCATCTTTGTTCAGTGAACAAAGTTGTTCAAATTTAGTTCTAAAGAGAAAAACTAAAAATTTATCCAAGAATTGCTGCAGTTTCTGCAAGCTGAAGGGACACAAAGCCACATTCACAACATCTGTGAGAGGACGAGGAAGTTTACAAAATGAGTTATGACTTGAATCAGCTCTTCAAAAGTGAAGTAAGATTTATCTCAACAGCTTTTCAAACGTCAGTTACATCTAGTGACCAAGTATCCTAGCAATCTCTACAGCATTTGTTTTGCTAAAAAAATACACTGCCATACTAAATTTGAATTACTTTCCAAACAAAATCAGTGTGTTTGGTATCACAACAGAGAATAATAGAACAATAAATGAAATAATTTGTATTTTGGACTTTGGGCTTCATTTTTAGTGAAGCATGCTCAGAAGTGGGAAAGACCGAGGTCACTGTTTCAAGAATCTTGTAAAGGAAGCAGCCTACCCAGAAGAATCTCTATGATTGTAAGTATTATGAGGCTCCACATCAGTAATCCCAAATTTTAAATGGAGATTCTTAGATGTGAGAATTTATCTGCATATTGTGGCTGAATGTGATCTAAAGACCTCACTATTGTCTACAACTTCCTGGTTAGAAGAGGAGGGGCAGACACTGATCTCTTCTCAGTGGTGACCCGTGACAAGACTTGAGGGAATGGCCTGAAGTTGTGCCAGGGGAAGGTTAGGCTTGATGTCAAAAAAGGTTCTTCCCCCAGAGGGTGGCTGGGCACTGGAACAGCTCCCCAGGGCAGTGGTCACAGCACCAGCCTGACAGCTCAAGAAGCATTTGGACAACGCTCTCAGGCACAGGGTGAGACTCGGGGTGTCCTGTGCAAGGCTGGCAGTTGGACTCAATCCTTGTGGGTCCCTTCCAACTCAGCATTCTCTGTGATTCTGTGATTCAGTATTATTTTACTGAAGTAGCTCTCAGAGACATAAGCCACTCCCATTGCCTCTCCTGTTCAGCCCTCCCATGCTCCCTGAAGGAGGGAGGTACTGAACCTATTTCCATTACCCACCTGACATTCATACAGCTTCTTTCTTCCCTTTTTAGCGCCAGCTCCAGACTGACAGGCTGTCAGGTGACATTTCAGCGTGCTATTCCGAGCAAAACGTTCATGGCAGTTTGGACATTCAAAGGGTTTTTCACCTGTTGAGACAGATACAAGGATTTGTAAGTGTATAAAGCCACCCAGTCTTCTTTCAGGTCTCTCTTCTCTCTCTCTCTTTCTCTCCTGTCTAGGTTGATAAATACACTGTAAAGATGTGGCCAACGGGATTATTCTGCAGAAAAAGAATGAAAATTGAATATAAAAGGGCAAAAAGCTGATGTAGAGTCATAAGTCTCATTTAGAAGAAAACCAATGTAACAATTACCAGTAGCTTTTAAGTAGTTGTGGAAATTGTATTACTATTCTGGCAAAATATTTTAGAGAAATAGGAGCTATTTCACACATTTCATCTGATAATAGTTAAAGAATCAACGTAAGTCAATACACAAAATGACATATTAAAGAAGGAAGAATTTAAATAGTACAACCTTTTATTTTCAGTAATAACAGCTTATGCTTGAAACTGAGCTTCAGAAAACGAAGCTGGCACAGAATTATTGTGAAATAACAGTGCATCAATACTAAAACAAAAAAAAACCCTGCATCCAACTTTCCTCCAAAATACATGGAAGAGAAAGCACAGAGGGACATAAATGGGCACAAGCAAGATAAAAATTCCTCTCAGTTTGGCCACTTCATTTCAACCATGGTATCAAACACAGAAGCCAGCTAAGGACAACAGCAGGGGAAGCTGAAAGTAGGTCTTTTTATCATCCAAGGTACTGTGCCATCATCAAGTGGTAATGGACAAAGGGTGTTGCACCATGAACAAACACAATGACATTCAAGCAAATTAAATTACAAAAAATCCTTGAAGAGTGTGTTTCCTCTGAAAGACTGTAAAAATCTGTACAGGTACTGCTACCAACACCACTACTGAAACAAATGGATAATGAACTCCAAAAGAGGCTGAGCCATTTCAGTGAATACCATGAGGGTCACTCCTGGCTAGTTTAAAAGCCTGCATTTTCAGGCATGCAATAGTTATTGGACAGTGGTAAAACAATCTTCAGAAACATTTACAAGTTCCTAATTAGCATTTCAAAAGAAATTCACAAGTAGCTGAAGCATCATTTATACACCTGAAAGTTACAAAAAGATGTTAAATGGTGGGAACATTCCTCTCAATGGTTACAAAACGCTACATATTTGGAGAGTGTCTTACAGGAAAGGCAGAGGATGCTAAACTGCCTTCAGTGTTGCAGGTCAAAAATCATGGGACTTTGCCCAAGCAACTAGTGGGTTTGGAACTAGATGATCTTCAAGGTTCCTACCAATTCTGTAAACCATTCTGTAATTCTATGATTCCACAGAGCATGCATGGATGACCAAAGAGCTTCTGGACAAACTCAAAACATAAAAAGGAAGTCCATGGGACCTCATGAGATCTTGAGAGAGCTGGTGAAGGAAGTTGTTAAGCAGCTATCCATAAAATTTGAGGTGTGGCAGTCTGATGAAGTTCAAGATGACTGAAAAAGCAGAAGCACAACCCTTTCAAAACAGGGACATAAGGAAGAGCTGGGCAACTACAGGCCAGTCAGTCTCACCTCCATGCCCTAAAAATTATGGAGCAGATCCTCCTGGTAGCTATGCTGTGAAGACAGGCTGAAAGCCTTGCGGTTGTTCAGCCTGAAGAAGAAAAGGCTTCAAGGAGGTCTAAGAACACCTTCCAGTGCCTAAAGGCAGTCTACAGGAAGGCTGGAAGGGACTTTTAAGAGAATGTAGTGATAATGACAAAGGTGGAATGGCCTTAAGCTGAAACTGAGTAGGTTTAGGTTAGATATTAGGAAGAAATTACTTTCTCAGAGGGTGGTGATGCAGTGGAACAAGTTTCCCAGAAAAGCTGTGGTTATGCCCTCTGTAAGAAATGTTCAGAGCCAGGCTGGATGTGGCTCGCAGTAACCTGGTCTAGTGGAAGGTACCTGCCCATGGCCCCAGAGGGTGGAACTAAAGGATGTGTAAGGCCCCTTCCAACCCAAGACATTTTATCATCCTATTACTGCCCCACTGCTACTTTAATGTGATTGCTGGTGTAGTGACTGAAAACAACAGGGTAAAATATTTTAGGACATTTTCTCACAGACCTTTCAAGTTCATTTTAGCATTCAACCAGTGCTGCAGAGAACTCAGAATTTAGAAAGCGTATAACAGAATGGGAGCTTTTTCATTCTCCTTAGGAGACCACAGTTAAATGCTGATATCTGTTCTGATTTAACCTTAAGGTTTTTGAAAATGCTAAACTGGAAGGAATTAGATTCCGTATGTTATACTTATTACATCAATATATATTTAGTAACTATTCTGTACCTCTTGCGATGTGCTAACTTGCTTTAAATTGAAAATATTTTCTTTGCAAGAGCAACCAACATATTACATAGTTTGGATTACTGTGGTTATCTGCCACAATTTTTTTTCTGAATAGATTTTTGCTAACTAGCACCTGTTTGAATTGCTTGTAATGGAGAAACACTCCCTGCTTTACAGGGGATAAGGGTTTCCCAAAGCTTGTTTATAAAAAGAACTTTTAAGAGACTATTGGGAACAGACCAGAAACTGCCATATATCAATACTCAGCAGTCCCATACACAGATACATTCTAATTAAATTAAGACATTCTTAAAATGAAATTAAAAGGCTTTAACAATAACAAACTGCAAAAGAAATAGAGCTGCTACCCTCCATTAAACTTTTACTTAGGACTCATGACTGGCACATTAAACGAAAACATCTGGAAGGTCAAGATGACATATATTTTACATTCAGTTATCTGTGTCATTTTCAGTGTCTGTTCAGTCAGCTGACCTTTCAGTGAGATGTAGAAGTAATCTCCTATACTAAAAAGAAGGAAGGAGGACCACAAATCACTTCGTACTCAAAAGTTTTTTGCTACCCAGACTTCAAAGAGGCAGATTTCACAGTAAAAAAAAAAGTGTACTATAATGAATAGGAATGTTTTGCCAGTTTTAGTAGATTTGCTTAATTAACCAAGAAAATTCAAATCACAGATGAGAGGAAACCAGAGCATACATAAAACTTTTCAAACATGATGGTACAAGACATAATTCTTTGAGGGTATTTTATGTCTAATAGGCATTTGCTCAGAAGTTCTGTTAGATAAAGAAACTCTCTAGACTGTATTCCACAAAGAAGATTGTGATTCAAATAGTATTTCAACAGAAATATTTACTAGAAAATTTTGAAAATAAAAGTGGTTCCTCAGTTTGGTATTTCTGAAGAAAGGAACATGACTTAAGGGAGTATTTTGAAAAAAAACTCTTAAGATTTAATACACTTGACAGAGAAGATCCCTTACTACTTTCTGGTTTTAGGTGCCTATTTTTAATTGACTCAATCCCCCAAAAGTTTCCAACATCAATGGAAAACAAAAAAAACATGAAAAAACAAAAAAACATACTACCATTTTAGTTATAACTAGAAGCCAAGTATTTCTAGCACTCGGGACTAATTTATTTTCTTCAGCATTTTATCTATTTCCCCAAAACATGCAAAAGCCCAAAATACTAGAATGAAGGCCACAAGCACAGGACTGTAGCAATGTTCTTACCTGTGTGCTTCCGAAGGTGCTCTTTAAAATGCCCAAAATGGTCAAACTGCTTGTCACAGTACTGGCATACATGTATTTTCTTGCCAGGTCTTTGCTTCTTGCTGGCACCACCTTCATCAAGGTGGTAACAGGTGAGGTGCTGTTTCAAAGCACTCTCTCGTAGGTATCTTTTATTGCATATGTCACATTTGTAATTCTCAGTAGAGTGTGTTTTCATGTGTTCCTTAAAATGGTAAAACAATTTAAATGAACGGTTACATTTCTCACAGTGGAATAAATTGTTCATGTGTGACAGCTGAAGTTCCACAATTTCAATACCTTCTACCTGTTTGCACGAGGGGTCAGTTGCACTATCACCTTCTTCTTGCATCTGGCATTTTCTCTCTCCCTGACGATACTTGCTGGTGATATCTGCCAAAAGAGCCAAAGCAGATTCATCTGATGTACCTGTTGTCTGTATGTACTTTATGGATTGCTCTGCAGAAGCTACTTCTTCAAGGGTTTCAATGCTGTCATCCTCCACTTTCATCGTCCCTTCAGCAATCTCAACCTCAATTTCAACAGGCTCTGATTCTGCAGATGGCAGTGTTTCTGTGATAACATTAGAGGTTTCAGCAATCTTCCTCTTTTTTGGTTTATTTTTACCTTGTGCTTCATTTGATTCTAAGGGTGATGAATTTTCTTTGTTCCTGAAAAGCATTTGCATAAACATGGTTAAGATCAATTAACAATCACATAATAGTAATGTCACTGTCTAGTGATAGTAAAATCACTGTCTAGTAATCTAGGTTCTGCATCCAACACTCCCCTAGCTGTTTCTTGAAGTTGAATGATGACCACATTATCTGTGTGCACATCAGACACGCAACCTATGTGCACATCAGGAGCTAATTTGTCCTTAATTTACCTCCTTAGTGCAGTAAAATAATATTGTTAAAGCCAATAAAATATTTTAAAGTATTTAAAGTAAACAGCTCTGCTTCAATGATACAAAGCATCTAGCAAGAAGAAACAGCAGTTAATCTAATAACTTATCGAAAAATTTGTTAAATTCTGTACCTGGAAAGAAAACTCCTCTAAAATAATTAATTCTTTGGCCTGCCTACTCAGAAATAAGGTTTAAGTCCCTCCTATGCCATTCACCTCTTAGGCTCTGGACTGTGTACAACTGCAAGCAGTACTCAGAGCTTGTCAGAAAACATTTTAGCTGTGACTTCCCACGATGATTACACACACAAGGGTTAACATATCCCATAACTCAGGCACACTGCTAACAGCTGACATAAAAAAAGCTACCAAGATGTGAAAGGAGTATTCTAGTTTAATTTTTTTGGCTTAAACACAGCTCTCAGTTCTCTCTGTTCTCTCTGCATAATGCACACACAATCCCCTTCCTCCAAAATGTCAGGGATGGCACAGCATCTCAAACACAGACAAAGCTGAGTGGGTCAATGCTTTCAAGTCATCCAGAGCACTGTTGTGCTGGAGGTTTTACTACTGATCATCAGTTTCAGAAATAAGTGGCTATCTTCCCATCAAATAGACTGACTGGAGTAAGCTGTGCTTTTAACCTTCCTCTGCACCATGATGAATCCTTTCATGTAATGCACTCCCTATCACTTCCAGGCTTTCTAGTAACAAGAGACAAGACTTTGCCCAGTATCTCCAAGTCATATTGTCAGATGTGTAACTAATGATGTCATGCAGGCCACAGCTTATAAATGGCACCTTAGTCTGTTCACAGACAGGAAAACAGAGTAGCTAAACTTAGTTTCATATAGTCTGGATTCTAATGTCTACCAGATTACAGGCACATTGCAAGGAGCTCCTGGATCACGTTACCAAAAGCAACTAGTGTAGCATGCAGAAGGAATGAGAAAATGAGAGTACTTTATGGAAGTGAAATGGAAGAAAGGGGATGAAAAACAGCATGATGGGACTGGCACCCACTTTTTCAAGCTAGACTTTGGCAGTGGATTACAGTTCCTGATACTGGATAACAGGTGCTGCAGCAACATTTGATTGAGTATTGAACCCAGATAAAACTGACTTTAACAGTTACATTCATTCAAGAAGTTTGAGAGGTTAACTTTGCAGCGAGAGATTTTAAGATCACAGTTTATTCTCTCAGAAATAGCAGAAAGCTACACGAAATCAAAACACCATAAAACAAAACAAGCACCATGAAATCAAAACAAGCACAAACTCGTTAATGTTATCTGGTTACCAGAGACACATTGTCACTGCACGGCCAGCTGTCAATCAGGTGTGGGCCATCAGACAGCACAGAGACCAACTATCAGTTATCACAGAATCACAGCCCTACAACATCAGCAACATTAGAAGCCATGTCACTTGTCATCGAGTTCTAGCCCAATGAATGTTACGTTCTTCGTTTACCCTGTGTAATTCTGAAATGTATGTTACAGTAGAAGAATATATGGTTCTACACAACTTAAAGAGGTCCCAGCATAAGGAACAGCACTGCAAAATACTGGCAGCCAGCTCTTGCAGAAGCCTTACTGAGACTCTCTCTTCCAGTGTTGGAAAGAAAAAGAGGCTTATGTGGTTACCTGATTTCAAGTGCTTTGATTGCTTCCAGCATCTGTAGATACTCTGCAGCTTTCCAAACATCATTTGCTTCTTCCTCACCTTGTACCATTAGCTTTGCTGTATAGGTGAACTCAATTAGGTGACGAAACGCCATGTTACTTACACCTGTGTACAGGCAAGAAAAACAAGTTAACTTTGACAGTTCTGCAGCCTCGTCTTCCCAATGAATCTTGCACACTTGTCTGTACACCGTTTTGATCACAGTACTGTAGCCACCAGTTTCATAAATGTCACACCCTTAAATGGCTCCACTGAATGGTTTGGGTTGGAAGAGACCTTTATAATCACCTAGTTCCAACCTCACTCATGTTGGAATAAAAAAACCTACTAGAGAAACACAGTCTGGAACAACTGTGCAGTTTTGCCATGACAAAGATAACAGAAATGATAAGATGGACAGAAGACTGTTTCAATAATATATAGATTTAAACACAAAAAAACTATTCCTGGAGGCTGAAATGCTGCTCCAGGAATTTAATTTCCTCCCTGCTTATCACGTAAGTATTACTCCATGTTTGCCTTGCTCTTGCATCCCAGCCAAGGCATTTGCCATTGGCCATCACTGACAGCCTTTTTCAGCTGACCAGAATGGCTTTTCTCTGGGAAAGCTTTTGTGTAGTACTGCTAGTCCTAACAATACGGGGTCTGCCTGACCTTCACTAGACATGTATTAGGGAAAAGAATGGGGAAAAATAATGAGAAAGCACCACATAATCTCACATTTTCCCTTCCAATATATTTAATACTGTTATAATTTTAATTTTTCTTCAGGGAGGTTTTCTTTCCAGTGACGGTAGCTGTCTCAGAACAACTCAATAACTAAAATCTAGAAAGTTAACTGCAATAACCAAGCATGTTCAAGTGTTCAAAGCAAGACCGGATATGGCTTTGACCAGCCTGGTCTAGTGGGAGGCATCCCTTCCCATGGAAGAGGAGGTTGGCCTAGATGATCTCAACGTTCTATTCTCCAACCCTAAACATTCTATGATTCTATGCACTAGCCTCTACTCAGGACACTACAATAATTTCCAGCTTGAGCACCCAACTATGAATGCTTTTATTCACACAAGTCAGATTACCTTCAATCTCCACCAAAGGCTCCTGAGTGAAATCTTGGAAGAATTTGTGGAAGAACTGGCTACAAGCAGCAAGAACTGCCTTATGAGCTTTAAAATGGTGACCTGCAAAGGGAGACAAAAAGTTTGGTTTAAGGTTAACACCTTCCTCCCTACATAGTGCAGATGCAGAAAAAAAGACCGCCCAGTGTAAACATCTATTCCAGCAGCATATACTGAGTGATTCTCCTTGTAACACAGGACAGTACTGCAGCTGGCTTGCTCCTTCTCACACAGAATCTTGCTGACATTGCTGAGCTTGCTAAAGCTCTGCAACTCAACCAACTGGAGAACTCTCACTCACTCACTCACTCTTTTCAGATATTTAAGAAATTAATTATGTGAAATTTCTATGCAAACTTTTCTTGGTATGTTGTGGGCTCAGCTCTGTATGTCTCATGTTTTTGTTGCTCCTACAGACTGATATATATGTTACCACCACCGCCAGCATAAACACCACAGAACAAAAGGGGTTCTGCTCTATTCTTTCTATCTTCCAGAGTCTGTATTTATTCTACCCAGTGAAGGCATGCACATTCATACGGCTCAGTGGTACAGGGATAAAGGAAGCAACACAGATTAGAACTACACAGCTGCACACAAAACCAGCTCTGAGTTCAACACATGGATTTGGTAATGACAGAGCAGGAGCAAACATTCAGGGCAAGTGCTATCAGTGAAACTGTGGCTGTCCCTGAAGAATATTTTTTTTTCTTAATTTGCTTACCTCCTTCTAATCTGGACTCTGTAGGATCCTTTTTCTTCAAGTGAGTTGCTGCTATCCTTTTAAAGATCAGGTGCAACTCCTTTAGCTAAATCTTTCTAAGTGGACACTGCCTATATTCCCTGTAGTGTTCATCCATTCTAAAATATGTTTAGAATATGAAGCAGACTTAAATGATCTACCACATATCACCTTTTCTAAGGAAATAAGCACTTGTATCTTCATCATCCTTTTAAAACAGTTCTTATGCCCTTAGAACACATACAAAAAGTGCGTGCTTCTACCCTTTTTGAAGTATAAATTAAAATAGTAGACAGATACCAGAGAAGCTGCTGTGAGAAGTAAGTATTATTTCAAGGTGTGGGGTATTTTTTATTTAAACACGGTATTTGTAAAAGTTCTCTGCATGCAGTCCAACTGTTTAAGTCAGAGAAAAATATTTTGACAATGTTTTGGGAATCCTTCGCACATTAAATATACCACAGCAGTTTCGAACAGGGCTTCTACCTGAAAACATTTTAGTTTCTTGTTGGGAAAGCAGAAGCAAAATTACTAACCACTACAATGAAACTTTGCAAGTAACTTGCATACAGGTACAGAACAAGAATTGGTTCACAGCCCCATCTGACACCTGACCATGAAAAATCCAACAGCATCCTAGCACAGCTTTCAGAATTCTCTGAACACCAGCTAGTTCTCAGGCCTATACATACCATCGACGATCAGAGTGATATCTGTAAACTGGTCCTGCTCACGTTGTTCATTGAGTCTATCCAAAATAACTTTATAGTGTTCAGGGAATTCCTGGATACATTCCATTGTTTCCTCAGCTTCCATGGCAGAAGGCCAGGTCTGCAAAGCAAATGTGGTATGACAGTAAGAATACTGTGCCAGTTAGTAAACACTATGCAGAGTCAGGTTGTTATACAAATGTGAACTAACTTTGCCAGGACTATAAAACCAATGGAAAAACTGTCTTGCTTGCAGGTTTTTTACCCAATGTTGGCTGACAGGTAGGAAATAGCACATTACTGCTGTGGAATAGCACAGTAATGATGTGGAATATTGTCTTATTTGGACACATGAAGTAACAGCCAAAGTGGGTATTTCTTTATCCTACAGATTCAGCAGGGACTCACCACCCTGAAAGCAAATACTACAGGGATGCAACATCTCCATAGCTACTCATTCAACACCACTGCAGCATAATCTCAGAATCTTCATACAGTTCTTGCAATCCCACCAATCCACTTCGTTAACAGACAGTTCTTAAAACCTTTACATTTAAGTCACGCTTTGTAGCTCATGAACACAAGTTGTTTACTTCCTTTAAATATGGAAGTAATACAGCAGCAATTTTCAATTTCTGAGTGCATTACAATTGCCAGGGATTTCATCTACTCTCAAGCTTATTCATCCATCCTATTTACACTTCTTCCTCTATAAAGTGAAATATTCTTTGCCAGCCTTTTGATGTGAAATGCTTGCAGTCAGATAGCCCTTCCTCCCTCACTAACACAATGAACATAGCTGGGGGTGGGAGTTGCAGAGGATCTCAGACTGGAGAGGTTTAGCAGAACTGGGTGCCTGTGGATGAGATGCAGACAGTAGTCTGCTGCATATGCAGAAGAACCTCAGCAGAGCATCCAAATGCTTCAACGAAAGCACTTTACAAATTACCTCCAGGCAAAATTACTTCAGATCCATGAAGCAACGCCCATTTTTAACTCCCACACTAATGTGGCTTACACTTAGAATGCTGCAGAAAAAAAGAATTATGGAGTTCCTGTTTACACCACAACACACATTCCTTCTTGTCTCTCAGAAAAAAGTCACTCATGAAGAAGTTGTTTTGCCAAGAAAATGAAATAAGTAGAGCAGAAGCAACTACTCAGGGAAATCCAGCCCTACCTGCTACTGCTACATTGCCAACCACAGAAATGCTGCCCACAGAAGTCGGATTTGTTACCTAGAGTGCAAGGAGCCAGTAACTACACACTCAAGGTGACACAGATTATTTATTTCAAAGTTGCGCAAGCCTGGGTGCCCGGTGGAATTCCACAAATCAAGTACCCAACTATAAGAACTTTTTGCTAATGATACATTTTACCGAGCGAAAGGATTAGTGTTCATTGGTTACAAGTAACATAATTCTCTAATTAATTACTATTCTCTCTTCTACTGGTTAATGATTTTCTTGCTTCCAGTGCTAATTAGTCCACATGCTCAGCCTCTCTCTTTTTTTGGATCAGCAGGTTTCTTGGGCTGGTTGTTGCAATCTTCCCCAGCCAGAATTACCTGTTACAGGGTTAGAGCCAATTCCAACACAATTGCAAAGTTTGCTTTATTAGCTTTTTCCTTATTTTGGGGTTTCTGCTACATGTCCCTATGGGCTCTAAATTCTAGATTCTCTGTGTCCACTATCAGCGGCACACCCATTTTCTCAGGCTTTGTTAGCCTGCCCTTAGGTCAGAGATCACTGAAGTATGTCTTCATAAGCTTAAGAAGGCAATTCTACCCACAAGTAATTTGTTTTTCTAACACCTGGACATAACTTAGAGCTTGTTGGCTGGTCTCTGTGTCATGGATTAAATCTCCTTTCTTGTTGAAGAGGCTTGACAGTACACAAAGATCAAACATCAAAGCAAATCCTTCCTTAAGAAAATTCTACATACTCTGTATTTCACACCAGAAACAACTGCCAGGGTCTTCAAGTGAGCAGAGGAGCCTAGCATGCAGGGGAAGATGAGGTGGAAGGGAGCGGATGCTGCTGCTGCATTCTCTTCACCTCACCTGTAATGGGTCTAAAACAGACAACCAGAAATTCCTCCTTTTCTTTTACCATCTGGTATTTCACATAAAGTCTCATGTAGGAAGGTGTCAGCTACCTACTTCACAGTTTAATTCTTCTTGCCCATTTTTGACACATTATAAAAGGGCAGATGACTTGCAATTAAAAGCCTAATTCCTAAAAACAAAAATTTGATCTCCAGCTCTCAGGATTTTCATCTCCCATGGTTTTTGCTTTACTTCCAAACTGACTGTAGGGGTATCTCAAAAGAAATACCCCAAACCTCAAAATAATAGAGCAACCTTAGCCTAGCAAACACAAGATACTTTAAAAAGTTTCTTTCTTAGAACTGTTACAAAACATAGCAAGAAACATACAGTTTATGTTAGGCAGTTCATTAATTTACACAGAACTAGTAAAAATGTGAGTTTACTGTGTATCTAAATGCTGTTGCAGCGTTCATTGAGCATTCCCGTTTTAAAAACCTCGGTCATACTGCACAAAAAGGCCTGACAAAACAGCACATGTTCAGTAAGAGCGTGACTGCTCTGGAGGAAGGAGTGAAAAGTACAGTTGGGAAAACAAAGCAGCCGAGGAATACGGACAGAAACGATCCAAATTCACACTTATGAGTGGGCTCACGGATGAGAGACAGAGAGTGGACCGCTTCAATTGTCTGTGCAATTTCCTTGAAAAACTCATCGAAATACTGCCTTAGCCTTATGAGTCTGTAACCCTGCACGCATTTCATGCATATGATGTGCATATGATTCGCCGAGTTGCTTTCGTAAATCCGCCTCAATGAAACGTGTTATTATTACTACTCTCCTGGGCGACACCAGGAGCTCCTCGGATTCCAGGCACCAGATGTTAGCTTCCTGCACAAGGATGCCGCGGCGCAGGCGGGGCGGTGCTGGGGCAGGCGGGGTGACCCGCAGGAGCCGATGCGGCGTGCCCACAGCACCGCCATCTTGGGAAAGGGGGAGCCGCGGCCTGGGCAGTGCAGAAGCAGGAATTCCTCATGCACACTGCCGCACGTTCTCCTCAAAACCAACGCTCAGGCACGATCCCGATCCCGCCCGTCGGCCCCGCAGAGGACGCGGGATCGGTGCCGCTCCCGGCGGGATCGCGGGCACAACGGCCGCCAGGCGGCGCCCCCACCCCCGGCCGCCTCACCCGGGGCTCCCGCCACCCGCGCGCGCCTCCCGCGGGCTGCGGCCCGCGCACCCCGCGGCCACCCGCGGCCTCATTGGCGGCCGGCAGTGTCATTCAGCGCGACCCCCGCCAATCGCGAGGCGCGGGCAGCGCTCGCCCCGGGCGGAGAAGCCAATGAGCGGCCGCCGAGTGCCCGGAGCGGGCGAAGGCGGAAGGCCTGGCCCGCGCCCAGGGCTCGCCGCGCACGGGGGATCCGGGCGCGATGCGGGCGGCGCCGGCAGGCACGGGGGTCCCGCGGGGCCCCCCGAGAGGGGACCTGGTCGCTGCCGGCCGGAGCCTGGCGCGCGGCAGCGCCGCCGCCTCGTTAGTCCTTATTACGTCATCAAAGCGCGCATTAAATCGATCCCTTTTCAATTCCCGGCCGGGTCGCGGCCCGACGACGCGGCGCTCCGAGGGGTGGAGAGGCGGTTCCGCCGGGGACTCACCGGGAGCAGCTCCTCGCCGCGCCGCTTCCCGCTCCACCGCCGCCGCTTCCTGCTGCCCGGCACGCTGGAAAGCGGGGCGCGCGCCGGCCAATCCCGACTCGCATTCCCGGCCTGCCCCGCGCTCACCTTCCACGCGACAGGGCGCGCGCGCGCCGGGGGCGGGGCCCGGTGGCCCGGGGCATGCCGGGAGCTGTAGTCCATTTGTGCAGTGCGACGGGTTCAGCGTGATAATACGGGTCAGGCTGCAGGGGACCACAGCGGGTCGTCTGTTCCAGCCTCCCTACTCAAGCAGGATCATGCACAGCACCTGGCACAGGATTGTCTCCAGACAGTTCTTCAGTATCTGTGAAATCAGACTCTACAGAATCTCTGGGTTATCTGTTTCAGTAATTGGTCACCTGTGCTGTAGAGTTCTTCCCCGTGTTCCGGTGGAATTTTCTGTGCACCACTCACTGCCCATTGCCTCTTGTCCTATTGCTCAGCAGCACCGAGCAGAGCCCGGTCCCTGCTCTGACCCCTCCCTGCAGACCCCGACAGACACTGATGAGGTCCCCCTCAGTTGTCTCTTCTCAAGGCTGAACAGGCTCAGCTTCCTCAGTCTGTCCTCATGACAGAAATACTCCAGTCCCTTGATCATCTCTGTTGTTCAACTCTGTTCCTCTTGATGAGGAATGCCTGTGTCTCCCCTTCCAGATACGCTTTGCAGCTACATTGCAGTGCATTCCTTAGTCTGGCATGCCAGAACATTTTGGAAGACAGGTGTTAGGGCCACACACACCCTCACAGGCAGGACTCGTACCCACAGGATTCCCTTCATCCCATGTCCCCTCGACTCTGTTACACAGCCACTCTTCCATGCAGTTCCATAACACCGTGTTATTTTATAAATCAGATTGAGCTGTGCCCAAAATGGGTGTCATGAAGCGGTGTCAAAAGCTGAAAAGTCAAGAGTGCAATACTGCCCAGCAAGTCTCTGTGGTGCCCAGCTGTGCCCTCCAGCTCGGCGTCCCCGCAGCTGAGGAAGGAAAGGCCCAGGCAGCCCCTTGCAGCTACCTGGGCGCTGACAATGTGAAACTTGGGTTTCTTTTCTATGGAGCCTTCAGGGGAGCCCTAGTCATACACGTTTCATGTCCTGCCACCAGATGAAAATGTACTCATCCAAATAAAGCAGGATAATAATTTAACTTGTCAGAACAGACAGCACGATCATCCCTTTGACAGCCTCTACGCTGAAGCTGACAAGAGAAGAGCAGCCTCATGCAGTGGCTCTAATTAGTTTGCCCCTGTTAATTCCTGAAAATTGACTTGTTTATGAACTCATCCCTTTCCCATGGTGCTTATTGCTTAATGGCCTTGTTAACATAACAGTACTATTGATCTTGTCAGTAGGTCTGCTCAGACAGTTACTTGCAACCTAGGAGTTGCCTGCCACACCCATTCTTGTTTTCTGGTACACAAAAGTACATAAAGCAATGTTGATGCCTCCTGCATTTAAAAATGTATAAAGGATTGTTTTAAACTAGCAGAAATTTAATTTTTAGTGGAAGAACTATCTCTCCAATAGTTCATAATCCAAACTGAAATATTGCTAAAGCTATCACTGCAGCAGAGTACAAAACAAGAATTAAAATTTTCTATTCCAGCACCTTCTACCTGTCCAGTGTTGGCGGCTTGCTTGTTTTTGATTAATGTATGGTTTGTTCTGACCATTTACTTTTTTTCTCATGGCATTTTCTGCTGTATTTCTTTTTTTCCTATGGCTTACCCCATCTAGTTTTACTGTGAGGTTAGGCTGAAGGTTTTAAATTAACAGTTCATACTTGGTCCTAATCACTTTTCAAGTACAAAATTACACTGACTAAGCCATAGCTCTTATGTTCTCCTTTTCCTCTTTCAGAGATGGGTGTGTCGTTTCTCAGCACTACCTCCAAGATTTCCAAGACCTATGTTACAAAACAATGCAATTTGGTTTTAGTAAGTCTGGAAACTACCTGGTTTATAGTGCATTTTATTTACATAAGGAAGAATATGTTAAGCAAACATCTAAAGGATCTTTATCAATATCTCTAGTTCAACCTGTATTAGTCATTTATGTGCCTAAATATTACCTTTGTTTTTTCCTTTTCCAGAATCACCTCAATGACACTAGAGAGTCCTGTATTAATTAAAATAACTTGGTACGTCTTATGGACATAACATTCAGCTGAGTTTGGGAAAATTACTGAAGTGTAGATGTTCTCTTCTAGCTGCAGCCTCTGACAGCAGCATTGAACAGGGCTGAGAGCATCTGTCCAGGCTGAGCATTGTGAGCCTCTCCCAGGGGAAGCTGTGATGTACCAAACAGCCCAAACTGAGTACTAAACTAATAGTAGAAAATTGTGAATCACATATTTCCCTTCTTTAATAAAGGAAACACTTCTGTGTTGGAGGAAATGTAGGAATTAATAAACTGGAGATGTGAAATCAAGTATTCAGGAGGCTTGCATATGTGCAGCATTGAGTAGATAACTGTTGTCCAAAGGCAGGTGATTTAGATAATAAATGAAGGCCAAAAGGGACCATTAGCTCATCTAGTGCAAGGCCATCCACCTGGCAGCCTCTGACCTACATCCAGCTTGCTGAGGTAGTCAGTTCAGCAGTCAGTCAGTTCTGACTGGCTCCCAAAATGGTTTTGAAAGCTCCTTAGTGCACTCGTGGCACACCCAGATCTCCCACATCAAAACCAAGTTATTCACCAGGCAGAGTACAGGTAGCTGCAATGTGGCCTGTACTGGTCTCTTCTATTAGAAAAATTCTTACGAAATCAACTGCTCATTCCTGTAATGTTATCAATCGCTTGCAAGAAATCTCTGTATCAGACGAGTCAGTACGTCTCCCTTGCACAGTGACTTGTTCTGTGCATGAGAAGGCTTTGCTGCCATGCCTAGAGCAAGCCAGATGTGTGCTGTTGTGCAAGAGGAAAACATTTCTGTGGGGCCCCTTTGATAGGTATGCCGAGGGCAATAATATCAGTGTCTGTTTAAACAGCTTTAAAGGAAAATAAACATGGATTGTGCTTCTGACAGAGAGCTGTTCTGTTAATTCTCCTTATTTCTTTATTATTTCCAGAGTGAAGGGAAGATATAAGGAGTTAATGGAAGTCAAAATGATAGTGTAACTACAAAATGCAATGCTTGAAAGCTGTTATGTGTAGAATTGTGGATTGATGTCAAAAACATTTAAACCTTAGTCCTGTGGCACAAACATGTCAGCCTGTTCCTTCATTATCTATTTTCAGAGGAAATGTCCAGCTAGGACAGGATGTGCATTTATATCTATTTAGTATTATCTGCTGACGTCCAAGCTGTATGCCACGTCTTATCTGCAGTTTACAAGTGTGACCCCAGAAAGAGCAGCTGACTGGTGAAACCAGGGAGATAAGTTGAACACTGCAAGTGATGGTAGCTGAATTCTAGTTCTTATCTAAATATTTTCTTTGGTATAATTTTAAATATCTGGAGAAAGAAGCAAGTCCAGCAACTTACTGTCCCTCAGTTTCATAAACTGTAGATTCTGCAGGATCACGAGAAGCGTGCCTAAAGAAATTAGGTGTAAAGTACTTAGCTATTTTTTTTCTTTTAATCCCATAATAGAGAATCATACATATAAATATAAAATGGGTTGTGTTGGAAGATCATATAAATTCAGCAAACTTTGTCAACATCCGTACTTGTCTGGAAAACCTCTTAAAGAAAACCTCTGTTAAAAAGTTACCTGTATTTATTATTAAAATACATACAGCTGGGCAATTTTTGCATGGGTATGCATTGTGCATCATGAGTAGAAATAACATACACAGACATTATTATTACAGATTTCATATGTTTAGTTAGTACCTCTTCAGACATTATCCAAACGTTTCACAGCCAAATCTTTAACCTCATTTGCAAAAGTATTTTTGTTTTGTGGGGTTTTTTTGGTAAGCAACAGTGGTTACAGTGCATCAGGACTTGAAATGTGGTGGCTTTTTTCCAGCTCTTTCATGATCCATGAAAATCTACAGAGCCTGGAAGGGGTTGAAGCTAAATTGTAAGGAAGAATTTTGACCTAGCCCACAACTGTACTTCCATGTATTATACATGCAGAATCATTAAGAGATAATTTTATATTACTCGTCTTTCAGGTCAGGTAATCTTCCTACAAAAATGTAAACCTATGAATCATACTATACCTTTGCAAAATTATGTTTGCTGATAGGGGCATAAAATATTCACTATAAACTTTACTCCAGAACCTGGAGACAATCAGGGAGTCATTCCACACACAATTAAGATGAGATTAAGAGCAATAAAAAGTTGGAAAGCTGGGCAACCTAGAATTCTTTCTGTTTTCTAGAAAATATTTTCCTTTCAAGAACTTTTTTCTTGTTTTCCCATTAAGAACTTTTTTATTTCTGGCACAGCCTTCCACCCATGAAGTGCATCTTCTATCTGTGCAAGACAACGTGTGCTCTGTGTCACATTGACCAGACTGTGCTGATTGTTGTGTGAGCACTCACTTTGTGCACTCGCAGGTGGGGCAGCTACCAAAGCACACATGCCACTGGAGAACCACCCAGCTTCTGTCTGTTGTGTCACTTCAGTTCTTAAGGCCATGATCCACATGATGTGGATCACACATGATCCATCCATACCGTACATCTCAAACAGTGCCTGAGCTGCTGACTGCATAATGATTTGCCTGAACAGTGGAGACTGAAGTCCTACCTTGGCTTCAGGACACCTGAAATTCCTCACTGTCCTTTAGTTTCGTACTTTGTAACTTACGTAGGCAGACAGCTGTGTTAAGGAATTAACAAAAGTTAACAACAACATTTACAAGCAACAAGCCTTTGCAAAAAGGGGAATACAATTAAAGAGCATTTATTGTTAATTATTACTTCATGCAGTCATGGGATTACTTTTGCATTTTGTTTTCTGGTCTGTCTCTCTTCCTGAATGCCTGTCAGCTGAAGAGAATGTTCAGCAACTTTACTGCCATGATTCTTAAATCATTACAATTTTTTTTTCACTTCGCAATCATATTTTATTTCCTTTTTTTGAGCTCTTACAGGAAATCTGGCAAGGATTATGATGCAGGATCAGCAG